TGCCGCGCCGTATATCTTACCGCCGCGCCGCATCCCTACCGCTGGGCCGGGCATCTTTTGTCGCTCGACGCGGTACATCTCACCCGCCGTGCTGGCGGTTTTCGCTCTGCCGCGCGGGATCCCGCGCGCGCGCATACTGCCTCCTGCCGATGCCTGCGGGTCCCGCAGCTGCGCGCGGACCGCCGCCGCCTGCATACTGCCGCTGTTCTGCTGCGCAGCTTTACCTGCGCGCGCGGACCGCGCGCGCCGCATTTACTGCCGCTGTTCTGCTGGTGATGCGCGCCGCGGGACCGGCCGCCCGCCGCCATACTGCCGCCTTGTCTGCGCGCCGCGGCTTGCGGACCGCCGCGCCGCTTACTGCCGGTGTTCTGCGGGCTCTGCGCGCGCGCGACCCCCGCGCCCGCATACATGCCGCTGTTCTGCGTTTCGCGCAGCCGCTAGCGGACCCGCCGCGCCGCCATTACTGCGCTGTTCTTGCGGTTCACCCCCCCTGTGAAGCGCGCTGCGTGACCCGCGCCGCATACTGCCGCTGTTTCTGGCGCGTCGCTCCGCGCTGCCGCGGGACCGTTCCTGCGCCGCTGGTCCTTGCGCGGCGTATATTACGCGTTCGTACTTACTGCGGCGCTGTATTCCTCATCGCGCCTCACCGCCGCCTGTACAGTATGTATGTATGTATGTACTGTATTGGTATGTATGTATGTATTGTTGTATGTATGTATGTATGTTATGTATGTATGTAGTATGTACTGTATGTATGTATGTATGTATTGTTATGTATTTATGTATGCTATGTATGCATATGTATGTATGTAATGTATGTTTATGTCATGTACGCTGTTATATGTATGGTATGTAATGTATAGTTATGTATGTATGTTATGTATGTATGTATGTATGTATGTATGGTATGTATGTATTGTAATGTATTGTATGTATGTATGTATGGTATGTATTGTATGTATGTATGTATTTGTATGTATGTATGTATGTACTGTATGTATGTATGTATGTATGTATGTATTGTATGTATGTATGTACTGGTATGTATGTATGTATGTTGTATGTAGAACAATGTATTGCTATGTTATGTATGTATGGTATGTGAATGTATGTGTTATGTATGTACTTATGCGTATGTATGTATTGTATGATATGATATGTATGTATGGTATGTACTGTATGTATGTATGATGTATGTATGTATGTATGTATGTCATGTAGTATGTATGTATGTATGTATGTATGTATTGTATGTTGTATGTAATGTATGTATGTATGTTATGTATGTATGTATGTATGTATGTATGTATGCTATGTAATGTATGTATGTATGTTATGTAGTAATGTATGTATGTACTTGTATGTATGTTATTGTATGTATGTATGTATGGTATGATGTATGTATGTATGTATGTATGTATGTATTGCTATTGGTATGTTATGTATGTACTGTTATGTAATGTATGTATGTATGTAGATGTATGTATGTAGGTGTATGTCATGGTATGGTATCGTCATGTTATTATGTATTGTATGTATGTATGTATGTCATGTATGTTATGTATGTATGTATGCTATGTAATGTATGTATGTATGTATGTATGTATGTATGTATGTATGCTATGTATGTAATGTATGCTTATGTATGTTATGTATGTATGTAATGTATGTATGCTATGTATGTATGTATGTCATGTATGTATGTATGTTTAGTATGCTTATGTTATGTTCATGTTTATGTATGTATGTTATGTTATGTATATTATATAAATATATTGTATGTATGATGTCCTATGTATGGTATGTATGTATGCTATGTATGTATAGTATTTATGTATGTATATATATATAATTTGTATTCATCTATCCTGTGTAACAATTTTACTGAAAGCTTCTTAGCGAGTAGAAGAAAACGCCAGATAGCCACCTGAGTTCGTTTGGCAGTGTGCTTCGCATTTCCTGCTTTGCCGATATACTAGCAACCTACGACGCGCCCGTCCGCGTTCATTTTGAGCAGCGAGGGCGTGAACCTACGACTGCACCTTGCTCACACCTATGCGCCATGCAACCGTGCCAAACACTCGGACTTATTTTTCCCCACTCGGCTTCGTTCTTCATGCTGTGGAATAGTACATTGTTTCTCGAACTGTAATAACATCGCCCTTTCCATCATCACCTTTCGCAGCGGCATCCGCCATCGCCCTTCGCTTCGGGCGACGATTATGCGGCCGAGCGTGGCTAGCGCTATTGCTTTTTTCAGAAATAAGCTCCATAAATTAACGAGGTTATTATCTATAGCGATGCATCGTCGTGCTATCCGATAAATGTTTTCAATACGCGTTAATTTGGCTTTCCAGCGAGCAATTGCCATAGATTGCCAGGAGTCGAATATCGGGATACTATCACCATTAGCCTCACTGATTAATCCGATAGTTTCCGATAGCTCTTAACAATTTGCGTTCAATTTATGTGGCTAAAGATAATACCGCCTGAAAACTATCACTGGACACTTCCCGCAATTGTTTATTTAAATGATTAGACTGGTCTTTCATGTTATCTGCGCATGGTATAGGTTCCACACAACTAGCTTCACTCGCGTATGCTACGATGTGTGTGAGCGTTTTGAAACGACAGTGGGTTGCAAGTCTAGACTAAATAATTATGACGCCAAAATTATGTACATACGAACATACAAGTGTTATATAAGTGTAATACACAACTTCATGATACCTCAATGTTGTAATAGTATTCGCAATAGTTCTTTTAATTACTGCAATAGTATCGACAATGGTACTTCAACTATCATAATATTATCGCAATAGTATAATACTGCACCAGAATATCTAACACTTACCGTAATACACATGTAGTTAGGTATATGAGGTCGTAAAGCGGCAAGAAAAGGCTACAGAAAAAGGCCTAATTATGCGATAATTACGATTTATTGAGTCCGATCTTCAAAATTTTTCCTCCTCTGTGCCGCTTACATGCGAAAAACCGTAATCGTTTTCGACGTATTAGAACGTTGTGTGTGCCCCTGCCAGCTTCTGTTCTACAGGACGATTGAATCTGATATATATTAGTAATGCGTTCATGGCGCATTGCATACATGATCAGGAAGCGGTAGAATATTATGCCATGACTGCATATACAACAACAGCACACTCCCCTCCCCCCACCCTCCACCACCACACACACACAAGGCATAGAAGGGCTGCCAGATCTCGCGACTCTTAATTACCCACAAATACGTTTTTACTGCGGTAATATGCGGAAGACTTTCCGCTCGATAGGAAACGCGCCGACCGTTAAGAACAGGTATACACGCCGTCTCGATTGCCTGTTGATGAAAGCAAAGACGGGTCTGTGTCCTCTGTGAGCGATCTCAGGATTAGAGAGCGCCACGATGCGGGGGTCACGACACTACACGGGATAGCGAGCCTAGCGAAGCAAACGAGCATGCATCGCCAAAAAGCCAGCTTTCTCACCGTACTTGGGCACTTTCACTTCCTAGTGGATCATTGCTCTAAATACGAAACGACGTGTTGCGGAGTACAAACACATCCATGCAACTCACTGCGCACTTGGAATCTCTCGCGCACAACGCATACGCCCACTTTACACACAAACACGAAACACGCACAGGTACACATACAAACAAACAAACAAACAAACAAACAAACACACACGCACAACACGGAAACACACAACACGGAAACACACACATGCAAGCTCACATACAAACAAACAATACACAACACACACACACAACACACCACACACAAACACACACACACACACACCATCAACACACACAAAACAAACACACACTACACACAACACACAACTACAGAGAGAGAGAGAGAGGAAGGAGGAGGAGAGAGAGAGAGAGAGGAGCAGAGAGAGGGAGAGGAGAAAACAGAATCAACGAACAACGTAAATAAAAAAATAAAGAAACAACAACAAAAAAAACACCCAATACAAAACACTGAAAGAACCAGAACAACACCAAACCAAATAAACGACAAGAAATGAACATCAAAAACCAAGAGAAAACCGATGAGACAGACGAAAAAAATCAAAACCCGAAAAAAAAAAACTAACAAGCAGGATGAGAGAAGAGAGGAGAGAGGAGAGAGATGATGAGAGAGAGAAAGAGAGAGAAGTGGGAGCGATAAGAGCCAGCGCGCGCGCGAGAGAGAAGAGAGGATTGACTGAGAAGAGGGACGAGAGATGAGAAGGAGAGAGATTGAGCACGCTGAGAGGCAGACAGAGAGAAGAGAGCCGAAGAGAGTAGCAGAGAGAGAGATGAGATGAGAGAGTAGAGAGACAAGAGTAGAGAGAGAGATGGAGAGAGGAGAGAGGGAGTGAGAGCTAGAGAGAGCAATGAAGCCAGAGAGAGAGAGTGTGTGAGTGAGTGAGCGAGTGAGAGGAGAGATGGGAAGCAAACATGAGCACTCACACACGCGCACGCAACGCCACACACATACACCACACACACTACACTACAACACACACACACACCACACCCACACATCACACACACACACACACACACACACAGCACACACAACACACAACACACACACACACCACACTCCACACCACACCACACCTACTCCACACACACACACACACACACCACACTACACACACACACACACACACCGCCACCACGCACACACACACACACACACACACACACACACACACACACCTCGTCGCGAGCGCGCAAGCATCTACCACGTTACTGCCGCTAAGCTCGCGGCACCCCCCCTCCCCCCTCCTTCCTGCTCGAGCGCACAACCCGCTACACCCAGCAACGTAAAATCTTTCAGCCCATACCCGCAGCGCCGAGGTCGGGCGGGTGACGTTTCTCGGTCACACCCGCACGCCCCCCGCTTTCGCCTAATGGTACGCGCCCGGGTGATAGTAAGTGAAACTCTAGTAAAAGTTTTCCGCATTCAGCGACAGCGGCGGCGAGCACACGGCGGTACGACATGGCGGCGGCGACCGACACCCTCGCGGCCGTCACGGCCGATATACAGAACCTCTACCGTGAGATCGAGATGCTCAACGAGTCGGCCGACTACGAGGACATGTGTGACGCGACTGACAGAGGCGGCGGAGGCGGAGGCGGCGGCGGAGGCGACAGCAAGCAGCAGAAGGTCCACTTCGAAGAGGTGGTGATGACTCAGAGGCGGGCGCCTGCCGGCTCGCAGCAGACGCCCGCGTCGCTGTTGTATCATCAACAGCGACAGACGACGGTGATCACCGACTGCTCACAACACTCCCCGAACAGCTCGTCCGAGTTGTCCGAGTCGTCGTCGTCGTCGTCGCCAGGCGGCGTCACGCACGTTTCCATGTCGCCCGACGCGGAGAAGTCGTTCGCGTGGAGTCCGCCGGGTGGCGGCACTGCCAGCAAGCAGCTGCTGCACGGGAAGTACTACGCCGTCGGCGGCGACGTTCAGCATCCGTCCGAGAGCGTGCAGATCTTCGTCAACCTCGAAGACGTGTCGCTGCCGCCGACGACGACGAACGCGTGCGTGTCCGTGCTGACGACGCCTGACACGACGCGACCGAGCATGGGAGACAATCGCGTGCGCATCGGCGTTGCGCGCGCCGCGACGAAGAAGCTGTCGCAGCTGCCGACGGTGCGATTCTGCCAGGTGTGCAACGACTACGCGTCGGGCTTCCACTACGGAGCCTGGTCGTGCGAGGGCTGCAAGGCGTTCTTCAAGCGCAGCATCCAGGGCCCGACCGACTACGTGTGCCCGGCGACGAACTCGTGCACGATCGATAAGCATCGACGCAAGTCGTGTCAGGCGTGTCGGCTGCAGAAGTGCCTCGACGTCGGCATGAGTCGCAGCGCGAAGCCCGGCGCGCGACGCGAGGTCGACCGACAGCTGGTCCGACAGCGAACGCTGAAGCGGGCCGCCGCCGCTGCCGACGGCGTCGTCGCCGGCGCCGACGAACCGACGGCGGCGAAGATCAAACGCGAGGTGCCGTCGTGCACGAATCCGCTCGTGCAGACGATGCTTGAGTGCGACTACTACATCGGCCTGTCCGGACACGATCACTCGGCGACGCTCGACGAGACGACGATGATGGCGACAATCACGAAGATCGCCGACCGCGAGCTCGTCTTCACGATCAACTGGGTGAAGCACGTGCCCGGCTACTCGGATCTGCCGCTCAACGACCAGGTCGGCCTGCTCGAGACGACCTGGTTCGAACTGATGACGCACGAGCTGTGCTTCCGCTCGATGCCGCTACGCGGCGACAAGATCGTCTTCGCTCCGGACTTCGTGCTCGACCGCAGTGCGATGAAGGTCGCCGGCATCGAGGCGATCGGCGGCACGCTGCTGGCCATCACGAGGAAGTTCGCCGAGCTGCGGCTGTCGCGCGAGGAGCTCATCTGTCTCAAGGGACTCTCGCTCGTCTCGACGTGCCTCAAAAGTCACGAGAGCGGCTCGCGCGTGCAGAAGATTGAGACGAGTCTGCTCGAGGCGCTGCACGAGGCGATCGTCATCAACGGCTGTCGCGATCGCTTCCGCATGGCGCGTCTGCTGCTCATCATCTCCGACGTGCGCTACGTCGCCACGCTCGGCGTCGCGCATCTCTTCCAGCTGAAGACGGAGCAGACGATTCCGATGCTGCTGCAGGAGATGGTGACGGCGCAGTTCATACAGCAGCACGCGCTGCGCAAGACGTAGCGACGCGTGCGTGCGTGCGTGCGTGTGTGTGTGTGTGTGTGCGTGCGTGCGTGCGTGCGTGCGTGCGTGCGTGCGT